AAGATGAATCGATCTTTCTTTGCAGCAGGTGAAAGCCCAACAGAAAGCTCGTCCAGACGTTGAAAAGTCTGAAGCGCATCCTCTTCTACTTTACCGTGCTCCAGAAGCTTCGCTAGAATCTTGTAACCACGCTTTTGTACGCCGTTGTCCTTGTGGCACAGTACTTCCTGCGCGAGGCACGTCGAGAACAGAGCGGCGACGTCTTGCGTGTCAAGGAAGGGAAGGAGGAGAATTAAAAGGTCTTGCATCATTGCAGTGGTATTCCCGTTGTCTGATTGTTGGAGGCTTTGACGGAAAAGGTCTACGACCTTGCGATAGGCTTTTGCAATGTCTTGCTTCTCTGCGAGTCCAGCCCAAACACCGATCACGTCGCCCACCATGCCACGATTATCTCTATCCACGCTACCGAAAACGTTGAAGAAGACAGCAAACCAACTCTCTACTTGGGTCTTGAGGAAAGTAAGGTTCTCGGAAGCTTGTTCAGGGGTAATTACGTTGTCAGATCCTGAGGACTCTCCCATGTCTGTGTCGACCTGGGCTGCGATAGTCTTGTTGGACTCTATCAAAGCCTTCAGACCCCTTAGTACAGGTGGCCGAAGATCAGGTTGGCTGTACAGTAGCTGAGAAAGGATTTGCGAGAACGCCGGTGTAAGAGCCTAAAATGATATCCATCGATATAAAAGCTTGTATACGAGCACCACACGTACTGTCTTGATATCAGAAGGTGCATGACAATAGCCCGCAAATCCAGACCATATCTGAGTGACAAGCACACTCCAGACTTTTGCCTCTGATTGCCTTCCTTCGCTATCAGCCTTTTGCTGCAAATTGAACATCCGCTCGCTCATGGGCACAAAGTATGAGACAAAATGGCCAAGGAGAGACGGGTGGGGTTGGTTGAGCATAGGCAAAAGGAATGCGCGTGGTTCTTTGCCTGCTTGACTAGAATATAATTCAGCTCTAGTCCTTTCCCCCGTTCCAAAATAACTCACCGATCCGAGGGCTCTAGATTCAGGGGAATGGCTTCAAGAAGTACAGCGGGACCCACTACTCGCATAGCCGTCGAGAGCACAGCGTCAGCGGCTTCCTTGTGCTCAAAGCCTTTTTGGACCCGCAGATTGGCGATTTTCGACACTAGAGGCATGAGCAAAGCCTCTGTAGCAGTAGTAGACTTTGCAGGGTCCACACGAACGCTCAAATTTGAGACCAGAGCTGAAATAACTGAGAGCAGTTCCTGCATAGCAGATGCGAAGGACAGGGAGTCGAGGGCTTTCGTTGTTTGCGAGATGATGCTTCGCAAAGGCGATTTGCCAGCTTCACCATCCGAAATGGAGTCTCTCACGAGAGAAGACGTGATACACCGTGTCAGTAAATCCAGAGATTCTGCAACAGCTTTACGGGTTTGTGGGTTCTTCGTCTCGAAGTACGACCACACCGTTTTCCACACTCTGTGGAATTCAGTGGCACAAGCCGATGCATCCGCGACATGATATGCAAACATTGCATCTCCTAGAACACGAATCCAAGATGGAGAGATGGAATTATCGGCTTTTGCTGGTGGGGATTCCAGGACGGCATGTAAAACGGCTGGAATTTGTTCGATTGCACTGGCAGTGCCTGTCGTAGTAGATGCGGTAAAAAGATCGGAAAGAATCGAGTATGCAGCCTGGGAGAGGTATGGGTTTCCTAATCGTGGAAGGGTCAAGAGCGTAGTGGTGATGGGTGGAATGGCCTTGCAAATATTTGTATTAGTAGATGGCAATTCAAAAATTACTTAACATACTTCGAGGGGAAGATTTGGAAGCACTGGGCGTAAGAATGCAAGGAGATGGATAGCTGTTTCTGCAGCTGAGGTATCAGACCCTTTTCCTGATGATTTTGATTTCGGTAGGGCACCGGTGCTTGCTTGCTGGAGCGCGATATGAGCCCATTCAGCCACCCGCTGAGCGTAAGGATGCCTGATTAAAGGACTCGGTGGGAAAGAAAGAACGTCTTTTACAATATCAGCTGCTTTTTTGCGCACTTTTGGTCGAGGATCCAGGCATAATTGCAGTATAGATGCAAATGATTGGCGGACCGCAGAAACGTCCAGTTGCGATTTGTCAAGGGCTCTGAACACAGCATTGTACAGAGTCAACTGTGACCTCATTGGAGGAGCATGTGCCATCAAGGCAGGAAAAAGTGGTGCGGTCAGAGAGAGAAGTGTATTGAGATTGGTCTGGATAACTGGCGGGGGGACGAAGGGAGCCACCAGAGCAAGAAGATACAGTTCTGCGGGTAGTACGTCTCCATCTCCAAGTGAAGTGTCCTTCTTTTGAATGCTTCCATCGAGAGTTGTGATCAATGCAGCAAAATAAGCCGTAGGTGTCCTGTCCGCATGCTTTTCCTGAAACGTAGATTCTAAAGCTTGAAGTAGGTTGGCTGGTGCTTTCTGGTGGGCAAGATTTGATGTCGTGTGAGGCCGTATTTTGGCCAATGCTTCCTCCATGACGATCACTTGTGAATGGCCGTCCTGCTGATATGCAGCATTGATCAAAAAATTGATTACGTAATACATAAGACTACTTTGAAGTGACTAGTAGTGACAAAGTAGTGACATGTACTAAACCTTTTCTTTCCTAAATCCTCCTCATACGCAACAGTTCATGTACACGACCTTCACGACGAAACTCGCATAAATATGGCAAAAGGTTCTACTACACCTTGGTCTTACACCTTAATTCGGTGAGGTCAGCGATATACCAAAGGTCGACAGAATTTGACGGCGGTGGTAGGTTGCTCTTCAAGTTTGTGCTGAAGATATTTTATGGAACCATTGTCGTCGAGAATGCTGATATTATACCGAAAACCGGGCAACCATGGTCCGTTTTCAGTCAGGTTATCCTCCATTAGCTAAATTGATTTGCGACTCAGCATTGTCTGCGCCAACCATCCCAATTCCCTGACGGATGCACTGTGAGAATACATCTGCCTTGGCCAAGCGTGTTAACCCATAGTTTGTGTATGTCAGTCTTCTGGTAACTTCTATGCCGTCCAAAGTAAGCAACCACGACCTTGAATCTGACGTCATCATTGACACAGTGCCGTATAGACCCGTAACATGCTGCGGCTCACGGCAAAATCCACCCAATTCGGTCATCGGACATTCACCAGTTGGCTGATCGAATCCGCAGGCACCGTGCCTATTAAGCGGCGTAAAGACCACAATGACAGCGAGGTTGATAACAGCCAAGCTATGGATAAGCTAATGGATGTAAGATGCGCTTATTTTATACATATAGGGGATCTGAAAGTTCAATCAAATCTAACAGGCACTCGAACTGGGAGATGCAGTTTGTTTATTTCCGGAGGGGGCAAGTCGTTATCACCCCACCATTGCCCCCCTTAAGACTGGAGGTTTGTCGACTGATTAGTATCTGCTAATATTTGCTTCACTTATCTTTTAGTGGCTCGTATTGTTTCGGATGTCCTGAGTCGTAATCGTGATGATCCAAACTTTTCTGTATCCATTCTGACATGCTCAATTACTTACATGTAATCAAATTCTTCTGATATTTCCGCCTAATTACTGACCGTGTAAAATTATAGGCATCGACAACATTTCAGATCAGATGTTCTAGTAACATTCAACCCCCCAATGACGTTGACTCCCAAGGTGCGTGCATATATACATATCTATAGAGAGCATTTCATTTAGTGTCCTGTGGTTCAGGACAATCCAGAGCTCCTCGCTCCCGTACAGTATGACGAAATTCGGGCTCTGACTACACGGATGCAACAACAAATTAGTTCCCGGACGATTGACTCGCCATCTTGGGAATTTGTGAGATCCGCAAAGATGGCGACACGCATGTATGCACCTCTTGGGACTCTTATGAGCCTAGGAGAATATGTGCGAATCACCAGAACATTTGTCGAGGCGTTCAAAGCTTCCGACGACACTCAAAAGAGCAAACGTATTGTTGAGGATCAGTCTATCGACTTCACCAAGGAGGACATTGAGTTCAACCAATTACGTCGTGACCTCAAGGTAATACAGTTTTTAAAAAATGAATGTACCTGTTTCTAAATTATCGTCAAAAGTATTATCAAGACCGGCTTGTTCATTGGGGTATCAAAGACGACCGCATCGCGCGTCCTCTCTCCTTGGGAACGATTACCATGCGGATGGTTATTCGACTGACGTGGTTCATATGTCTCTTTACCATATCTCTTCCAGGCCTGGTGCTCTGGACCCCAGTATTCATTACCACATTCATCGCTGTCCGAAACTTCAAAAGAACTGGGCCAGTCTGGGACACCTTTGACGAGATAGCGCAATATAAACTTGTCTATGGGCTTTTTTCGGGTCTATCCGTCTGGGCTGCTTGTATTCTCTTGACGCTTCCCTCCGCCGCATTCACAACATTTCTCGTCCCTGCAATGATGTGGATGACCCTGAGATGGACAGAAGACGCGATATCGGCTTTCCGCGCCTTTATGGCACTAGCGAGACTTCTGTGTGTCGGGAAGAAGACGCTGAACGAGATACGGGTGACAAGGCGGGATCTGCATTCGCGATTGATGAATCTTGCTGTGGGGACTTTGGGTTTACCGGATGATCCCGAGAAGTTTTTCGTCGAACGTGGGGGTAAACAGAAGGGTCGTGTGAGAAGCACATGGGACAGTGGAGCTAAGTACTTCTCTGTCAGAAGGAGGCGGAAGAGGGACTGGAATGAGACGCTGAGGCTGTATGACCAGGTAGATTATCCCGAAGATGATGGGTGAAGAAGGGCTATGTATATCAGATGGCATATCTAGACAACCGATATTTGGTATTTCATTTTGCATACAACTTTCACACAATTACACCTCTATGATTAAGTGAGAGAGCGACTCGTTCAATGAACATATTTACAAAATGCGTACATACAGTAAAGTGCGCCAAGATATCCAAATATGGTACAAGTAAAACCGAAACCGAGTCCGATTCGTCGTGTTCGTAGAGAGTAAGAAACGAACTATGCATTTGAACCATAATTTTGAACGGGTTTGTATAATCTGCGACGAGAACCCTGGACTGGTGTGTTTGATCTGTTACCGGCAGCCCACTTCTGGCCGCGGTCCGCAGCTACTCCGGTTATGATGACGCCAGCGCCCACGGCAAACCCTGAAACCCAAGAAACAGCGTTTAAAACGTAACCAACACCTTTGAGTATATTAGAGTCAGCAAGAGAAGGCATCATAAAAACTAACCAGGCTTAGCGTGTTCAAATCCTGGGAAACGGTCCTTGCGATACAGCTCGGTGACGAGAATAAACGTCACCAGTTGGAACACAGCTGCGGAATATATCAAGATGACGTCTGATGGAGCCATGTGCTTCGTAAGACTTACCGTGTAATATGACTAGCCCAGCCACCGCTCTCCAAACCCTTCTCCTTCTGGAATGCGTGCTCACGCCGATGACCAAAGCAACGAGACCCATTCCTGCGAAACCATTGCCAAGCTCGGTGAAGTATTGAGCAGAGGTCCACAGAGCACAGAACAGGCGGTTTTCTTTTTCACATTTGTCTTGTACGCGGAGCGGAAATTGACGACATTCGTAGTCGGCGTATTCCAGACGTCCTTTGCTGGGACCGGGAATGCTGATGGTAGAAGACTCGCAACGTTGCATTAAGCCATAGCGAACTGTGATGTGTGTGTTCGCGATGTCGTATTTAGCAATAAGCCTTCAAATACAATGTCAGGGTATTTGATGTTGAAAAGTTCTCTGGGCGAACCAATCCGGGAGACGTGAAGATAAAATATTCTATAAACCCCCTGGATGAGTGGTCATTCATGAAATGGGACGTGAACAGCGTACGATGATAAGAATGGCGAGAACAGCGACAAAAGTCGCTGCGTATGAGGTTTTCCTCATTGCAGGGGAAGTTTTGAAGGAGATAGCGAGAGGGTAAAGTAGTAATATTCGAGATGCTCCACAGCTTGTTGAATATGTCTTGCCATGGCCTTTTATTGTTAGTATTATGTAACAATCAATCGATTACCGGATGGGCCGGGAGTTTGGTGCCGCGCGATATCTGCGACCATTCGCGCAAATATCTCAACCATATGTGACAATGCAATGCCCTGATGCTCCCGTGAGAGAGACAACCGTGGAAGGAAGTGCGAGTATCTCGCGTCAACTAACCATTCTGTCGTTGTTTCCAAGCCGATCTGGTGCATCCAACAGCATCATTTCTATGTTTGAGGCTCGGATCCCAAAATATGAGGAACGTGTAGTATTCATAGCATATTGGAAATCTGTGACGCGCCGCCAACGCACCGGTATCGCTTCATGTACTTCTTCGTACACTCAAGTTTGTAGTTTCCGCAGCCGCTGCATGATCGACCTTGGTTGAATTAACCACCAACACATATACCAGAGTGGTATTGAACAATACACTATACCACTCTTCTGAGTCTTCTCCGAGTTGCCACAATTTTAGATGCTCGTGATCCCCGTTGTTCGGGCGTTCATCCGGAGATCTTGTTTATCTAAGGCCTCATCGTCGCTTCCGGTAGTATCGACAAGAATTGAAAGCAGGCAAGGCAGTGGCAGATTTTGCAGCAATACCCATTCAAGCACACTCCCGGGCCGGAACTCGGCAGGGGCGAGTGATCCAGGGTATTGATGACGTAGCTTGGGCGAAGCTGGCGGTGGGGGAGTGTTATTAAAAGATATTCTAAACAGTACTTGCTGAAATCAGGAGATATATAAAACCGTTACACTATATTATATTTAGTAGGTTTCGCAAAATCTCGTACGTCGGTCCTTAAATTGCTCGACGCATCACGGTTGAGTGCGGATTCACTGAGGCCCGAGCGCCCTGAGCTAGGCACGCGTACGACACCGTCGGCCCTGACAAGTCATGTTGCATCAATAGTGGCCAGTTGGCAATGTCCTTGTCGATTAGTGGTTAAATCATCGCATTGTGGCTACTCCAATCTGCGAAGCCGGAAGTTCGAATCCTCCCTGGGACAAATGGCCTTTTTGCTCCAGAACTAACTACGTCACAAGTACATTTATGTCTACCTCAGCTTCCCCGCACCCAGATACGAACAAGATATGGATCACTTATCATGCCCGCAAATGATGGCATCAATGATAGCCAAATGATAGCCAAATGATAACTTATTATTATCATAGTTGACGTCACATGTGAGGGCTGTATCGTCTTCTGGCTCGGAATCGGCCGAAAGAGAAGTCACTATCGGAGAGTTAGGTTTAGGTTCTCGACATGACGAGATTTGGAGTTTGCTTGGAGTATGAAGCTTCCTACTCCCCCCCCCCCCCCCAAGTAACCCTCTCCCAATCGTAAACTACCTTACCGTGGGTCATGGTCACGATTACTGGATGCAACTGGACGCGGTTGCAATCGTGCGACAGAACCTGTACTCCCACTAGGTTCAGTAGTATTATCCTAAATAGAACGAAAAGGTCAGCGCGATTGGGGTAGCGTCGGTAGCCCCCTGATGGAAACTTTCGTGGGATTGCAACCGCTGCCATCTCTGCCATTCTAGCGTTCCTCTTGCCCTAGCCCTAGCTAACAGACTCTCTAAAAGGAGTCGGGCGGGTGCTAAGAACGTGGTCTGCCTCGCGGCGCTCTGCTGGACGCTCGGGCTCGGGCTAAACCAGCTGCTATTGCCAGTGGTGCTGTGGAGCGCTGGATATATCCTTTTCGGCCCGTGTGTTTCGGTGGTTAAAACGTTCGTGAGGCGAGTCGAACGTGCTGGACTCTTGCCTCGAATAGCACTGGTCTCAACAAATCACTCGTTGCCTTTTATAGCCCGCTCATCTGAGAGCGCTTGAATTCCACTGACGTACACGTTAACCACCGACACAGCAAGCACATCAACACTAGCTATCTCAGTGCACTGCACTCAATCAATTCGAGGGGGGCCTGATAGGAATGAACCTCCAGTATGACGCGTCGCCCGCGCCATCCCTCACGAGTCGGACCTAATCACAATGTAAAATGTTATGCAACAGCGTAAAATGAAGCGTCGTACCTCTGTTCCATCATCACTATGAGGCAACTGCAACAACAAGTGTGAATCAGGGTCCTGGATACTGAAGAGGAAGAGTCACGTTACACCCTGAAGACGCGTGATCATATATGGCATACTCACATCCACCTCCCTACCTCGCGGTACGATACATTCCATTCATAGGGCGTGGCACTATAAACCACTTTCTCAGACTTTTACAAAGTTAGCATTCAACTTCCAACTAAAGGGGAAGTAAAACTGACGTCAGCACCGACGTAGTTGGAGATGGAGCTAGAGTCCGACTTGATGATTATCTTGCTATTCTCGCTTACAGTGGTGGCCTTGATTTCCCACTGCAAAGGCCATGAGAACTGAACAGTGAATATTTATTCAACAACTTACCTTGATGCGTGGATTGATCGAATCCTCGTGACGGCCGACGATGACGACGACAGCGGCAACATCCCTAGTATCCTTGAGTCCTATCTTTTGCTCTGGATAGGCGACATTCTGGATGCGGTATACCCCATCCCATGGAACAACGGAGCTCATGATAGTGATTTGAAGTAAAAGGTTTTGACGTAGAAGGCTTTCGAAGAAGATGGGGACACATCCTACGATGATAATCTGAGACCTCTTATACTCCACTCTGCCCGGTTTCAACCTGAAGTACAAACGCGCTACCGCCTTCCATTGCTAGAGATATCAAATGACCCGACAACTTGCATAGAATAGAGCACAATTGCGCAAGCCGAGCGAATAGCACCTCTAGATGATGTGCTTCCATTCCACTCGCTTCCACAAGTGTAAGAACTTGCGCTGGAATTACTTACATAAAAGTTCCGGTCAGTTGCAGGCCATTCGTGAGGGAGCCTATCGGGTGAGCTGACAGCTTGCATGGAAGTGGATACTTGCGTAAATTGCGCGAATAGCACGGGCCTTCAGACTGATTATCCGCAAATATCATTCGTGCTCTCTCTATGAAAGCAAAGACAGGTGAGCGCAAAGCTGTACATTGACAGCACGACTCACTGGATTCGTTCGTCGTAAGACACGTCGTACGCACTGGTCATATCATAGTAACTGAAACCAGCTAGTCGGTGGTTTCAAGAAACTGGGAACAGGTCGAAGAAAGGGCCTGGCTTACGGCTGCTTACGGGCTTTGTGGACCTGATTGTACCGGTCGACCAAATGAGGGTAATTGACAATTGAATCAGTACAACATAATTTTGAGTCTGATCCAATGGCTGCAAAGGTGCAGCAAATTACCTTCCCTGGGAAGCCATGCGATCGCAAAGAAGACAATCGTCGTGATTGACAAATCAACCTGCACTGACAATGTCTGAGCATCATGGAGACACTTCAAATCTGGTGATCGCCGTTAAAAAGTTTCACGTTGTGAGGTAACATCCACGTCTGTTGGAAATGATGGTTCCAACCGTGACCATTCCATTCATCTCGGACCGGTGACTGTCATAGCCGTATGACTCGAAAATCTGTAGTTCGGTTCACATTCATACTTGAGGTTCTATATAGTAACATATGTTCATGTTGAATGTTGAGGCAGGGACCTAAGCCGGATCCGACCACACAAAATATCCGGACATCGCCACATCGAGAGCATCAAACCCTCGGTACCCCTTGAACGACACGAGGATAAGTAAGAGCAATGAGCTGCAAAGCTGATCAGGTACAGATATGCTATGACTTTGAGGCTCTCACCCTGAATAGGTCAGGTGCGCGTGCAGCTAATACTTGTGGATCTTCTCCGAGACCTACGAAGCTGCGTTTCGAGAAAATCAGCAACCTGTATCCCCATACACTGAGGTTTGCACATACATAGTAGACACTCCTGCCTCTATGGCAGCGGACATTGTCATCGCTGCAAGATATTGATAATCATACAGAACTATCGATGGGATCAAAAAGAAGCACGCACAGCATTGCAGTCCAATGATGAATCCAAACAAGACAACCGGTGCTGTGTACTGTCCATCGGCGTTATATGCAGGGTGTGTCACTGTGCGGTAACGATGGTACCGATTTCTCAAGCACATTAATTCGGCACGCACGGCGCAGGTAGAGATACCCAAAGAGTGAGCATAGAAGCCCAATGGCATACGCCCCCCACGTCAAAGCTGTCGAACATCATCAGATGACGTCAGTATCCCCCAGTGGTGACTCACTCATGCCGACCAATGAATCGTTGACAAGCGCATCAATTCCTACAATATCAGCACCCTGAGAGTGCTTACGGGAAAACAAACGATAACGGAGCGTACCACGATCCATGAACATGGTCCAAGTGTCTTTTGCTGCTTTAATGTAAGGTTTTCCATAGAGCGCTAATAATACCGAATGACTGGTAAGTACAACCGGATTAACTCAGATAACTTACCAATCTCGATGTAGGCATATCTATTGAAGTACCTTACCAGTCCTTCGATACACCCAACGAAGAACTCTGCGCAACAAGCAAGACATGCTTCTACGACTTATCAAAGGCTTCAAAATGGCATTGAAGTAGGAAAAAATCGAATTGATACTCACAACTTCCTTGCGCATTTGCATTGTTCCTCGCAGCATTTAGGATAAGGCGAACAATTTCCAAAATAGTGACAATCAGGGATCCAAATGCTATTGACCCAAGAGAAAGCGTTGAAGCGCGTCCAAATGCGCTAAGGGTTGGATGCTTTGGCTGAAGTCAACGTATAAGCATAACGGAGGGCACATAGAACAGAAAGTTACCATCAATTGCTGCTCTCGAGGTCCGAAGTAATACCAGTCTGTGATGTGTATATGAGATGATGAAACCAATCGAGTCGTCTAGCTAGGCTCACTTCCGTACGGTCCACCAGCAAGAGTGGCTAAGGCGACATTACCGATGACTTGAGATGTCCAGAGGTACGAAAATATTGCATAGAATACTAGGCCTGCCACAGTACTTCCAGAACAAGACGTTCCGTTGTCGCAACCTGAGTGATCGTTCAAACTTGATTAAATTGACTAGTAACGCAAACTTACTTGGGTTGCCAGGTGTCCATTTCGTGTATCTACAAAATATGTTAGAGAAACTAAAGATTGCACAGCAAATTGAAACACTTGCATCGCAATCAGTGTATAGGAAAACCACCTGCAATTAATAGCATATGAAAAGACTTCTTCGAGCGTGACAACAGCGACGACTTACACGGTTAGAGCAGCTTGCAAAATCAAGGCGATGAAGACGACGACGTAGACGCTCTTGTGATGTTTGGATATATCCATTACTACTTGCAGGAGAAGGGACGCCAATGGAATGCGGGACCTAAAGCCAAAATAGGCAAAGATCGAAATCAAGGCAATGATAGTGAATATGATGGCACCAGCTGTAGCTTCGTAGTCAATAAAGAGGTGACCGATAAGTTCATATCGCTCACAATAGTAGCCAGTAATCCAGTAATAAACGCAAATGGCGCTAGAGTGACAATCACCACGATGATCGATCTAGGGCGTTAGGGGGCTTACATGTTGAGTATTATAGACAAAACGAGAGTGATGTGCATCAAGGCCCGTGTAAAGATGCGTGCGAGGATCAAGTAGGCTATAGATAAGACAAGAGCTGCCGCAGTGACAAACAACAGAAGGTAGGCAGTATGGCTAACGCAGTCAATTAAATATGTCGATGAATGACCATGGTCAACATACCGATTGAGGGTCACCGACGAGCCAACCTGGGAGCCATTGCCTACACCACCCCCAAGCCCGTTATTTGACACGTATCCTGAGAGGGCAATTCCTGAAAGCGCCACAAACCCGGCAAACTACCATAGCATTAGAAGGAGTGCACCAAGAAATAAGGTAGACTAACCTGCAGAATGAAAAGGACCAGGAAGAGAATGTCGTTGACCTGCTTCTTCGGCTCAAACCGACCGTCGTCGAAGGGTGTTTTTTGGTTTGCAGATGATTGTGGATCGTACTGCGGCTGAACGACTGGTTGGGCATATGGCTGAGAGTGTCCAGGCGTCGGCTCTGCGCCGAGGGTAGTATAGAATGGGGGATACCCCTGTCCCTGTTGCACTCCCCACTGAGGCCATCAGTAAACCGGTGAGTTCTTGCTGGGGATTATGCTGATTATGGTGCTTTTACATGGTCATATATTGCTTTATATCACTTTATATTACAATGTGACGAAAACCTTTCCTATATATTACGATATATAACGATATATGACGATATCTTCTTCTCACAGGTTCTCTGATGCGATCCTTGTTCCAATGGGCCATTTTCTGAAGCAATGAGAAAGCGAATAAGTTGTTGTGGGAGGCAATTGCAACTTCTCGTACATGCAGACCCCTCGAGGCAAAGGAAGAGCTGAATTTGAAAACAAACTACGTCAATCATCAACTCCAAGTTTGGAATCCATAGGTGCGGACGGCATTTATACCGGTACACGAGATGCGTTATGTAGTTGGGTCATGGGGAAGGCTAGGAACATAATGATACGCAGGACTATGCGGCAACAACCTGACGGTCCCTTGGTAGTTAACCAGAGTTTCGAGTGGAGTTGCTCGGCCGGATGTCACCGAACACTCGTAACAAAGGGTAAAAAAGCTAAAAGCAACTAAAGTCTATCGAAAAGCATCCCCCTTTGCACATGCCCGAAGTACATGCCTAGTGGGGTAATGGAAACTACTCACTTCTGGACGGAAGTACACTCGGGCCCCAGGAGAGGCCTTCCGCTCCAACTCATTAAATAAGCATGCTCGTTCCAATATTGCCAACGAGATTCGAATCGAAGTCGCTGATATGGTTTTCTCCTAGACCACGCAGGTGTTACTGTAAAAAGAAAATGATGTCAAAATTCGGGATGCGGTTCCGGGTGCCACAAAATAGTTCATGGGAATTTTTATTTTTATTGATCTTGGCGCATTATTTCCTTCTCAGCAGTAGTACGGAATGTGCATAAATATAGCATCGTTAGCAGGAAGGCCGAAGGGATCTCAACCTATTGCAACCCGGCCACATACCACGACTGCCAGTCAATGACGATATTAGCTGGCCTAGGGGATGAACGTTGTGATGGTTATGTACTAGCAGAATAATGAAATGACATCGTACGTCCATCAATCATGTCACAGTCTCCTGCAGGGTGGACTCGTATGTGTGAATGAAGGACATGCGAACAGTCTGGACAATGGACATACTTAGACCACTACAGGGTAAATTTCCTGCGTGTATAAATGGTAAGACACGTTGTCCAGCTCGTGGCCGGCAGCATGTTCTATCAAATATGTAAAACCAAGGTAAGTAAGGCGCAAAATTCTTGGAGCATTGTTCTCCATCCTCGGATGACTGATGCGACTATCGATGGATAACGTTCAGCGGCTTAGATCGATAAAAAAAAAAAGTACAGAGTTCAGCCAAAAGATTTCCGGTGCCGTGGCACATTTAAACGACAGTGCATTTTGTCAAGGAAACCTATATAGCAAGCTGTGTGGATGACATGATCGTGGATTAAGATTAGTAGCGAATTTAGTTTTGTTGTGAAACTGTGGCACTGATTTACGTACGAAAATTCCGACTCCGGCATTTTGATTGCGGGCGCTGTTCTTCTTCCTAAACTCTCAACGTTCCTCAACGTGATCATCGTTGGCGACGTTCTCTATCCCTAAAACGACGGTGAGTTTATATTATAATCCTCAAACTCACTCACTCAACTCACTTACTACAGGTACATTTCAATTTAACTGCGGGGACGTCCTTGTCCCTTTGCAACAGTGTCTGCCATTAATCGCACCCACCCTACTCGTAATCTTCATCCCAGCGTGCATAAGCTCGCAAAGTCATCAAGACCATCCACTATCTTGCTAATGAGCCTATCTTTCGGCGGCCTTGGCTTGATCTCCCTATGGACTCCCTTGTATTTCTGGGATGACTCCGCCCGTGTTCGCAGTGAATTCAGGTCTTTCGTCTTTCTTCTTGTATTTGTTGCTGTAGTGCTCATACTTGGTGAGCAACGTGGTTCAAGCTCCTTAATTGCCCATATTGACCATTTATTTCTGCTTGTCTCTCACTCTTGCATACTATCATTGTTCACTGCATTTGATCGTCCATCTAATTGGCATCCTTATTGAACCTAAAAACATCAAGCGTATCTCACGAACCCCTCAGAGACATCATTCCGTGCTTATCTAACCGAACAATCCTTCCGCCAACACCTCAGCCATCTTGATGATACCGCGGACGAATCTTCTGATACTGATGCCCAATACTCTTCGCGTCCTGTGGACCGCAATACACTGACTGACCGCACGCCACTTCCATTTCACTTTGCAAACCGTGCTTCAGTATCTCTACGCACCCCAAAGCATATCTTCCATAGTATCGGCATTTGCACGATCGCCACTACCCGCGGAGCTGCTGGCGTTACTGGACGTAGTTCAAGCACAACTAGTCTACATGGTAACGGGAACTTGTCAGGTGTTTATCATGATGGATCGGTAGTTTCAGATTCTTGGTTTATTGGAGCATTTGGTCACTGGTGGCGTGGCGGTCTTGTTGATTCGTGGTATCACGATGCCATGATCGGATCAAAGGACGCTGAAGGCTGGAGCTCTGGTATACTTGGCTTCAAGGCTCTCGACAAACTCAACGAATTCAACAGTATGTTTTTCGATCTCATTCGTCCTTCTATCTTAATGTAGAAAGAAGGTCGCCCATTTGCAAAGTCGGTTCCCTGTCCCAGGCTTCCATCGCGTGGTACCCCACCTAGGTTACGTAATCGTGAACGTTTTGCACCGCGCCTTGGATTAATTCCTCGTCGTAACTCGACGCCTCCGCCACTTCCCAAGTCGGCTTCACTTCCCCTGCACACAGATCATCGAACGCACGAGCACAACCTTCAAATATCCCAACCAGTTTCCGACCAGACCTGTATCGGTGTCTACGTCCCGCCTGTTGCTCAAACCATCTCATGTGGCCCTTCGAGATCTGTATCCATCGATGACTCCCCGATGGTCGCGGAAGTTTTGAAGCAAATCGCTGCTCAGCAGGCTTTCGTGGCAGAACTAGATACCCAAATTTGCGAGGTCCAAACAGCCGCTACTACGTCCCATGATGCGCTGGAAGCTGAATTGGCCGAGCTGCGCATACGTAAGCGCGATGAAGATCAACGCAAAGCCGAAGGGAAAGCTCGTGCCAAAATGCTTGAAGATGCACGACGCTCTGCTGAAACGGGAAGAAGAGATGCCGAGAAGAAGCTGAAGGCCGCCCGCGGTGTGAAGGAGGGCGCTGTAAGGCGCATTGAGGAATTGGAGAGCGAAATAGGCAGGTTAAGGGATCAAATCGAGACAGACCGAGCGACTTTGCTTGAAGAAGCTGAGGTCGAGGACGCCAACCTAACACAGGAACTGGAACTGGAGCTTGAGACGAAGAAGAAGGAGGTTCGGATTGCCGAGGATGTTGTCGCCGCGCTCAACACACGTGCGAAGGAGCTCGAGGTTAAAATCACAGAAGCACGCGAGCGACTTGAAGCCACTAGGGAGCGAACAGAGGTTTTGAAACAGGAGCCGTTGTTTGTCCCTATGCAAGTTTTGAACAGCGGCCATTCCTCCACGCAAGAGCACTACGGTCATATCAACGGTCACGGCATTGCAAATGATTACGACATGGGTCAAGCAGATGCACCATCCTGGTCCTCAACTTTCAGTCCCTTTGATGAGCCGTTAGACATCCATTCTTCACCGGGGTCTTCGGAACGCGAACAAAGCGGTCTTGATTCAGGAGAGTTTTCACGTTCTCCGAGACCTCCGCGACTTTCGTTGGGATCACTGTCAAATTTCAGCCCTAATGCAAGTGAAACGAGTGCTGTTTCGCGTCGCTCCAAGGGGTACACCATCTTTGATGACGATATCGCTTCCCTCGCGCAACCATCACAATCTGGTAAAATCGCTCACGGTCATTTCTCCCCCCAGACAAATTTGGCGTTCTCTCCCTTTGATGTTCAAACACCGTCTTCAGCATTCATCCCAAGTAGCCTCATTAGCGTGCTAGACTCTCCTTCTGGAGACTGCCGAGGCATTGGAAGAGCTGGAAACGCGCTTAGTGTGTCACCTGTGTCCCTCACTGGACCTTCGCCCGCACAGGAAATGAATGTTGAGTATGATCCTTTCGAAGTTCGCCACCACACTCAGGCCATGTATGACAAAATGAGCATGCCTCACCGCACGAACTCTGATCCCTCCGCCGTACGCGCGCTGGACAACACTCTTGTCAATGATGCTGCTATCATGGAGTTGGATTCTGGACCACGCAGGTGGTTCTCGACATCTGCCAAGGACAAGCAGCGCAAGGGCCTCAATCCTGATGCCAAGGTTTTCAGACTTCCGCGACGACAAGCCCCGGCCATGTCCGAACCCATCAGAGCCGCTCCTATGGCTTGCTATGACGCCCTGAATCCAAACGGGCTCATGTCCAGCAATTCCTCGACTCCATCCGCTCTCCTTCGCGCCTTTGCTCCCTCTCGAGCGGAACGTGAGGTACTTCAGCGCGCGCTTGGTGGTTCGACTAATACGAGCCTCGAGCGTCTGCCAAGCCTCAGCGACGTCGGAAGTATTCCATCTTCTCCAGTGCACGTTCACGCTGAGGTGCAGCCGCTGCCGGCGTTTGGGGGGAAGGGGGCTGTTTTACCTGCGTGGCTACAGTCGCTGCCGTTGATTCGGAAGCCCAACTTCAGCCCGTGGGAGGACGAAGAACCTGTCTCTGCGAGCACAGGCGGGGAGGCCAAGAGAAAGTAGATGGTGTGTAGCAAGCGGAACGGGGGAGTGGGGGGAAACATTGTACAAACCATGGAATGGTGGCTAGTCGTCCTGGCATGACGAGGAAGGTGTTCGCAATAGAGAAAAAGGGGTGGGTGGGGTAGCTGTATTTGCTTTTCAATTACCTGCTCGTCTGATATATATATCGCAATGCACGAATTTGTTGAATCGTTTCACATGGGTAGCCACAACCAGTCAGGGCGATCAGGAGGCCTGAGTCTCGAGCCGGTAGCCCGGCGGATCATTGTCAGCGCGCGTACAATCTTGTTCTCGACAGAGCCTTGATCCCTCGGGTTTGATATCCAATTGCTACTTAGCCAAGGGACATATTTCTGGGATTGATGTAGATGTGCAATTGCTATGGCGTGTGCTCTTGATCAAAATCCGACACGCCCGCCAGGAAGTATCATATCAACCAAAGCACATACAAACTACGATAGCAAGCCGGGAGTAAGCCCTGCACTCGG